GAGCCGGGAACTCTCCCGTTTGCTGCACTCGGGGGATCCCYGAACAAGGACGSATCCTGGGCYGATCCCCCCACTCCTCGAGGCTCAGCCCTTCCCCTGCTGGGGAGATGGAAAAGCGCCCGGAGTGAGCATTGCCCTGCCCTGGACGGGAATTCCTGACAGTCCCTGACCCTGACTCTGTCTGTGCACACACGGGTGCCTGTGCTCTGTGTCTRTGGGCAGAAATGCTGCTCCCTGAGGTGTTTGAGTTCCTCTGATATGTGAGTGAGTCAGGCCACAATTAAGGTTGCTTTATAAACCACGATAAATGCTACCAAGTGTTGTTCCTCTGTTAAATTACTAAATTGAGTTCACAGTCGTAATTCAGGTTAAGCGCTGTCCAGTGTAATTCCTCTGTTTGTCACATTAAGTCAGGTTAAACGCGGCCAAGTGCTGTCCCTGTGTTAAAATGTTAAGACATCGATTAAGGCATCAGTGAAAAGCTTCAGATCAGTGCGGTTAAGTTTGAGTGCTGTGAAGTTTTTCAGGGTGCATTTCTTTTCATCCTCACCCTCACTGTGCTTTCACCCCAACACACACCTGCAAAGTTCTCTGCTCCTCTCTCCTTTGATATCCTGAGCTTTGTTTGCTTTTTCCGTTGCTCCTTTGCCATCGCTGTGCCCTGACTGCGCTGTGMGGAGCAGGGTGACTCCTGCCAATGAACGCTGTCGTGCTGCTGTTTCACATTAAATCTGGGTTATGCAGATTCCGGTGCTGCTGGTTTTTAAGTGATCTCACACGTTTTCAACAGCTGGTTCGAGACAATTTCCTGGTTCCCGGGACCATCGGGAGCTCGGTGTGAGCTGAAGCTGGGGCTGAGTTCGGGATGCAGCCCCGGCAGGAGCCCAGGCCGGAGCAGGGGATGCCTGAGAGAGGCCAAAACCGCTCTGTCCCTGCAGCAAACAGGAGAGTTCCCGGCTCGGAGAGGCCCCACTCCCGGGGAGCTCGCTGGGCCAGGAGAGCTCCAAGGGGCTCATTTTGGAGCGCTGTTTATTGGGCCCGAGGGATGGGGTTTAATCACAGCAATGTTTCATCCTGGCCACGGTTTTTGGCAGCTGCTTGATGGAAAGAGTGAGCCATGCGGGAGGGAAAACTGTGTGTGGGTGTGGCTGTTCCTAAGAAAACTTGGAGCTCGTTAGGCAGCAGCAGTGCCTGGGAGCAGT